TGGATGGATGGATGGATGGATGGATGGATGGATGGATGGATGGATGGATGGATGGATGGATGGATGGATCCTACCCTGTAGGATCTGATCATCCACCACCAGGACCTCCTGCAGATATGCCCGAGGTGTGGTTTCGAGAACACTGTGCACGGTGCGCAGGAGTGCGGCCCAGGAGTCGTCATGGATGCAGATAACTACACTGGCTTTTGGCAGAGACTCACTGTACTGCTCTCCCAAACACCTGTGGTAGGAAATCCATGCTATAAATTAGATTAAAAAATACGACTTTTTAAACATATAATTGGATATGTTTGCTTTACTTTTAGCTTTCTTTTCAGGTTCTTTTCTCTTTTGGTGTATGAGTAAGGGGTTGTCATGGAGACCGAACTTTTTTCTTTTCCTTTTTTTCCTGAATGATTCAGCAATTGTCAGGATGGATAGAGAGTTTTTTTTACATCTATTTTTTTTTTAAGTTTTTAGCCAATAATGACTCTCAAATGAATTTGCTTTGATCTAAAGTTTTCCTCTGTAGCTCGGGTTGTGTGTTAAAGGTGAATGGCTTATTGGAAGGTGGGACTGATCCTAATTCTTTACAGCCCTAAGGATGTTGTCTTCCCTGCTTACTCTATAATTACCTCCATGTATGTTGCTCCCCTGACAACCTTTCATGACCCTGCAGAAAAAAAAGTATCCCACAGCCTCATACTGCCCACTAATGTTTTGTTGTGTAGGTTTTTTTCTATGGGATCGTGCAGGGCAATGTGCAATGGCTGAATTTCTTAATGTGCAATCGTGCAGGGCAATGTGCAATGGCTGAATTTAATCATACAAAGTGTTTGGTATATAGGATAAACTATGAAGTTAAAGTTTTTTGTTGTTGTTGTTTCTTATTTAACTAGTGCTATATAAACTTTGGTAAAATGCAAAATAAAACAACAACAAAAAAGTACTTTTTTGCACAACAGCTGTCTGCTTCTCTATAATTTTATTCAGAGGGTTGGAATGGGGGTAAAATACAAATATACTCCAGTCTTTTTTCGGATCTCTTTTTCTTTTTTTTAACGAAATGAAAAATGATTAATCCAATTTCTGCTACTTCAAATTCCTTACATGCAGAGAGGTTTCTCAGAGTATCACACTCACTCAGGATGACGCATCTCCGGCAGACTGCGATGGAGGGAAATCCTGTCTCGGAGTCCCTCACTGACCCCTTGTTGGTGCATGGAAGCTTTCTGTCCATCTCCTTGTAAACCCTCCAGATAGCGCCGGACACCATCTCCCTTTCCCCTGTGTCTCTGTGGTCTGAGTCCAGCGGTGTTCTCTGTCGCTCCATGCAGAACCGCCTCCTTATTCTGCCTCCTCTTAGATGAGTTTATTGTGGATGGCACCAGCAGCAGCTGCTCCTCTTGAAAGGATTTGAATGGAGCCAATGTAAGCCCAAGCTCTGAGGCGGCGGCGTGGGATTCCACCAGGATCTCCAAATCTCCTGGACTAAGTATTCTGGTAAGATGAGGAAGGGAACCTGGTTTTTTAAGGATCAGATCTTGGTGAAATAGATCAGAGAGCCCAACCATAACTAAGCCGAGGCTGATGAGCAGGAGCCAGATGTAGAGCATCCTCCTCTTTCCCACGCTCATCCTCATCCTGGAGGCAATTTCTTCAGTAGCATTCAATTTTTTGTTTCTCAAAGAAGTAAAAAGGGTTTAATCTTCTTAAATTTAAAAATAGAAATGTTACTTAGTCCAAACTATAATCTATTTTTCTCGTGTCCAGTGGTTAGGCTCTGAATGGGACTCTAACTGAAGATGTTTCTGAGGTGTGTAGCCTACTTATGCCTCCCACCCCATCCTATCTCCACCACCCACTTGTTTCTCTGACTCTTCAATTTAGGGTGAGATAAGATTAAAGGGCTGAGTGTTTTTCTCTTTCATTATTCTATTCTAAATTTCATTTTAACAAAGAAAAACAGACTATGATGGATTATGTTTAACAAAAGAAACTACAGACTGCTAGATTTCGGTATATGGATGTTAAACTTTTAATCTTTAAATATCAGGGGTTTTTCTTTTAAATATCATCAGCTCACTAAATGTGAATAAACTAAATAGCATGATAGCTCATGAAATGTAATCTTTTAGTTTGTATTCGTTTATATATATATATATATATATATATATATATATATATATATATATATATATAAAAACGAATATATATATAACGAACGAACGAACGAACGAATATATATATATATATATATATATATATATATAT